ACGTTATTAAATATAAAAACCAACGTGTTTTTTAGAAAATTTCATACCCGTATGAATTATAGATCATCGCGTCCTTGGTTTTACTTCGGCATCAAGCCCACGTTTTATTTTATTTTTAAAAATAAAATAAAAAACCCATTTATTTACCTCCTCTCCAAGTTTTTCCGTTCGTCTTATATAAACGAAGCCAGTAGGCCACGTAAGAGGTTTTCTGTTAAGGGTTTAACAAAATTTTCTTCCCCCAATTTGTCTAGTTTAGAGCTACAAGATGAGCCAAATCGCCCTCTCAAGATCCGTCGGTGTAACTGCCCTGAACTCGTTGAGATGTGGAGTTCTTCCGCCTCCGTTAATGCTCGCCGCCGTCGCCACTCTCCGCCGCTTTAGCACTGCCGGAAATCCTTTCAGGTCTTTTTAAGCTTTACGATCTTTCGTTTACGCTTTGTGAAATTTGAATGAGAATCTGTAGGAATCTTAGGTTTGATTGGTTTATGAATCGTCTGTTTTTGTAGCTACCAAAAAAGCAAGTCGCCGCCGGTGATGAAGTCGCATATCCGTCAACTTTCGACAGCTCCGACGAATCCGTTACTCTCCGGCGCTACCTCCGTCGTCCGCGGATTCAGCTCCTCCGCTGGAAATCCTTTCAACAGGTTATTTGAGATTTGGATATTTCGTTTACGCTGTTTTGAAATTTGAATGAGAATCGAATCGAATCGAATCGATGCGTTTGGGTTTGAGATTTCGGAATGAATCTTAGGTTTGATTGTTTTTTTTTGTTTTTGGTAGTTACCAAATTACGCCGCCGGTGAACTGGGGAATCCGGATCGTGCCGGAGAGGAAGGCGTGTGTGATTGAGCGGTTCGGTAAATACGCCAAGACTCTACCGTCGGGGATTCACTTTCTTCTTCCGTTTGTGGATCGTATTGCTTATGTTCATTCCCTCAAGGAGGAAGCAATCCCGATTGGTAATCAGACTGCGATTACTAAGGACAATGTTAGCATCCACATCGATGGTGTTCTATACGTCAAGGTTATCTTCTTTGCTTACTCGATTCCAGTTTCTTGGGATGTTTCTGTGTTGATTTTGTGCTCGTTCTTAAGGGATCCTTCTTTGTATGTTGAGTTTCTTGCAGATAGTGGATCCTATGCTGGCTTCTTATGGTGTTGAGAACCCAATCTATGCTGTTGTACAGTTGGCTCAGACTACTATGCGTAGTGAGCTTGGTAAGATTACGCTTGACAAGACCTTTGAGGAACGAGATACTCTCAATGAAAAGATTGTGGTTCGTTCTCTATCCTTCAGTTTCTCATAGTCACTGATGTTATTGTGGATTTTTTACTGGGTGTTTTGTTAGTGCCTAAGATTACAATTCATATTGTTTGGCTGTGCTGTTTATCTGTTCATCACTGGTTATGATTTTGAATATACTTTTGCTAGATAAGAGTATTTAAGATTAGGCTGGGTAATGCATTTATAGTATATGTGTTGGATATTGCAAACATATGAACTTTTCGAGATGGGATTATTCTTGCAGGAATCTATCAATGTTGCTGCAAAAGACTGGGGTCTTCAGTGCCTTCGTTATGAGATAAGTGAGTTTTTTTTCTGTTGACTCTTCAGTTGTGTTAGCTGATTAATCTTTTTGCCTATTTCTAATACATGTATTGTATATCCATCCAGGGGATATCATGCCTCCTAATGGAGTGAGGGTTGCTATGGAAATGCAAGCTGAAGCTGAACGTAGAAAGAGAGCCCAGATTCTTGAGTCTGAAGGTAAATTTGCGTGGCTTGTCCTTTGAAAACTTATGTTCTGTGATTGAACAGTGTGCTTGCTACAGCTCAATTCGTTCAAATTCTTGGCTCAAAAGTACCCACTTGCGTTTTTGGTTTATTTGCATTTGGAACACAACAAAGCCAGCTCAATTTGTTTCTAATAACCTGCTTTACTAATAACCATAACAGGAGAACGCCAAGCCCATATCAATATTGCTGATGGTAAGAAAAGTTCTGTAATCTTGGAGTCAGAAGCATCAAAGATGGACCAAGTCAATCGCGCACACGGTTAGTGTTTAATATTTAGCAACCAATTAAAGTAGAAAACATGAACTCATCAGAGTAAGATGTCGTGTTTGTTCATCACAGCATTCTTATAATTCGTGGTTTCTTACTCTTTCACTATGCCTTGAAAGCTGCATTACTGACTGATGCTTGACATGCTTGCAGTCTCCTATCGGTTCTGTGTCACTTTGGTCCTATATTAATTTGTACTTGTTGTTTTCCAGGTGAGGCGGAAGCAATATTGGCTAGAGCACAAGCAACAGCCAAGGGACTGGCCTTGTTGTCTCAAACCCTCAAGGAAACTGGTGGAGTGGAGGTGAGTACATGAGATCAAGTAGCAGTTCATGAGCATGGCTTTTCACAATTTTGAGTTTAATGAACTAAACTTGATTACCTTTGGTGTGAATAGAATTTGCACAAATTGCTAGTCGTCTAGTCCTTCAAATATAGTCTGGTTTCATACCAGTAACCAATGCATTAAGTCTTCTAACCCGTATGTATACCCATGGAGATTATCTGTGTTGGGCTTGCAAATGTCTGAGTTTAAATTTGCTTGTTTTGGGACATCATTCTTAATCATTTTTGCGATATGCAGGCTGCGAGTTTGAGAATTGCGGAGCAGTACATTCAAGCATTTGGCAACATTGCTAAGGAGGTAAGTAATTATTAAACACAAACATACTATACTGGATTTCCATTGGTTATCTGATAACGTCTATTATATAATCTTGTCCTCCCTTGGGATTATCTAATAGAATATTTGATCTTTTGTTAGGGTACAACAATGCTGCTTCCAAGTTCTGCTGCGAATCCTGCTAACATGATTGCTCAAGCTTTAACAATGTACAAAAGCCTCATCAACGACGGTGCCAACAGTGGTTACAAGTTAAATCCAGCGGAAGAATCCTCCTCTGTCAAAATGGTTACTGACAAACATCAATCTAAAAACTGAAGCTCACTAACCGGGGATTTCTCTTGAGCGGCCCTGCTAGAAGCCGTAGTAGATGGAAAACAATAATTCTTTTGTCCTAAGAAAGCTTTTAGACATTTTCGGC